GTTTGATAGTGCGTGTGAAAGCTTTGATAGCGTGTGAGAGACGGTATAGTAGTGAATGAGAGAGCGTTTGATAGTGCGTGTGAAAGTTTTGATAGTGTGTGAAAGACCTTATAGTAGTGTATGAGAGAGAGTTTGATAGTGTTTGCGCGAGTAAAGTTTGAATAATGTCTTGAACGGCCTCTCATAGTTACGGACTGCAGCTTTAACTACCAGTTTCAAGAAAACATTAAACTCATTGTAGAAATGGTCCCTTGTAATGTACTTCAGTTATATTTCTGTAGCTGCTTTTATAAGGCCCTAGGGATAACTCTGGGAGGAAAAGAAATTGATAGTTCAACAGGTTTTTTTTCTTCTTTTTTTTATGTGATTCGGTGCGTCTTCACCCAGAAAACATTCCAAAAAAAATAAAAATAAGTCAAACGCCACATTGTATAATGTAGGCAGTGGGATAAACTGCTGAGTGAGAAGATCCTCGCTGGGCGCGAATAACAGCAACGGTGAGAACGTCTCTCCACACGAGGAGATGATGTAAAATACGGCTGTTCTGTAGGATGAAACGCCGCGTTTCTCATGGTGCGGAATTGCTGATTTTGCGCCTAAAATAAGGAGAGATATGATACCTGAACATAGTTGTTATAGAAAGTATCACCTTTGTGAGAGCAAACACAAAACTGTATACTTAAATATGCATCACCGGTTCTCTCAAGTTGGGCTAAATTAAAATATTTCCAACAAATTTATATATGAAACCTAAATGAGAAACATGTTGTAATATTTTCATAGACAGCACATGTAATAAAGGACCAACTTTAAAATTAAAATTAATACAACCAAATGTAGGCCTATTTATTTATTTATTAATCAGCTATGAATTATTATTGACGCCGTTTCTATTACAACTCCTAGGCTTTATACCAATAGTAATTCTATTTTTTATTTGTGTAATCATTACATATGTCATGTAGCCTATGTGTGAAAAAAAAAGTAGCCTATGCTACATTTAGATAGGCCTATAGTCCATGTTGTCGAGTCGAAACCTGAACTTTCTTTCGGATTGTGTAAAAATGCTTATAATCCTGCAACAACTGAAGGTGTACGTAGCATAATCCCAGAATAAAATTATTTCCAACAAAAATTGCGCAAGTAAACTATCCAATGTGTTTAGTCCTTATTAAAAGCGAAAGAGACTGGTTGCATTAAACATTCCTCAACACGAGGGGGCAATAGCAGTCACATTCAAGTGAAAAGGCATCAGTGTTGGTAAGCATGTCTCTTCTCATGTGTGCCCTCAAAGATTTTAAAGTCTCTTTCTCTGCCTTTCTTACCTCTCCCCTCATCTTTCCCTCTTTATGATGCAGTGTGACAGTGAAGTAGCCCCTAGCACTCCACTGGCGTGGAAACGATCAGCTTGGACAGAGAAGGGGTGGCAGAGAGTCAGGGGGATGTGGACAGCCTTGGGGTCCATGCATGATAGATAGATAGATAGATAGATAGGTTCAAAATAAAGGTTTGGTGAACATTACAACTTGATTCAGTTTTGGTTGTGTTTAATAATCTGCTAGAGCCTAGTAGACATATTGAAGCCTGTTGGTTTAAGTGGGATCAGCTGCCTCGTCTGCTTTAACCAACTAATAAATATGAAAACAGCGGGTTTAAACTTTTATTCGTTTGCTGCTTGAAAGGATTATACCCCTCTATGGAGTCCCATGTAAATCTCGAAACCTCATAATGGCCAATGTTGTCCCATAAAAATGTGTCGAACAAAGGCGCTTGAATGGAGGCTTTTTCACGCATAAGCGGGTTTTCACAGGACTTTATTGACGACGGGTCGACCACACCACGCCCCGCGATAATCTCTCTGCCGGTGAAGGCGCGCCTCAGAGCGGCAGGTGCGTGTGCCAGGCACGGGGGTCACAGGGCCGACGGTGGTGGGGGAGCTCGCCATGTCAAATCCTCCCAGCTGCCGGTAGGAATTTTTTCAGAGGCTGTCACTTCCATTTAGCTTGCTCTTTTTTCGCCCCTTCAGATGAAGTGGTCCCTCTCGTGCCCAGGTCCTGTGGACGCCCTCTGCCACTTAACAAAAGCAAAGCGCCGCTAAACGACGACAGGCCGGAACAATGAATTCAACCCGGCTCGCTCTCAGTACCGTGAAATTGCAGATTAAACCGAAAAAGCGGTGCCTGTGACACAGCGTTGCGTTTCTTCAAGAATGCAAATGTGGAAACTGCAACGTTGAACACGCTCACATCACGGCTGACCACATTTTTCCTAATGCAACCTCTGTTCAAAATCAAAGTTTTGATTTGATAAAGTGAGAAGACATGAATATATTAGAGCAACACATTGCGTGTGGCAAAATGTTTTAATATTTTTCCTTCAAACTGTTATCTGTTGCAGTTTCACTTCATTAGATGCTAGTAGCCTACTGATTCAACCCAATACTGGCAAGTAACTATCCAATTGCAAATGTTTGCCAAGTCACATTTATATATATATTAGGGTGACCATACGTGCCATTTTCCCAGGACACGTCCTGGCCAGGATTTGTTTTGGCTTTGTTTTCCTGTTTCCATGCTTGCTGAAGGTAATGATCGAAAAGTAGTTTGACCAATAACATGCAAGCATTGTACATAATGGACCAATCATGGCGTGTGAGAAGGTGGGATCTACGGTCAAAGCGATGCAATTACGCGTACATATTAGGTGTGTTCGACTTAAAAGCAGTGCGGCTCAGACCGATCAGTGTTTGACATCAAAGTACCTCGAGACCGTTTCAAAAGCATAACCGTCTGTATGGTACTTTGATGTCATACACCGATCGGTCTGCACAAGCAAACAAAGCCAAAACCTATATTTTAGGCAATATAGAAATCCTGGCCAGGACGCGTCCTGGGAAAATGGTACGTATGGTCACCCTAATATATATAAAGCGTGTAAACACAATATAGATTGTGTCAAAACAGCTTCACAATAGACGGGAAAATAACAGTGTTAAAGGTGCTGCATGTAAGTTTTTGACTCTACTAAAGCATAAAAATACCATAATATGTTTGCAGATATTTAAGAAACATGCTACGTTAACATACGTGTTTATCTGAAAAACAATGCTACATTCAGTTATCCTCGTTTGAAAATGTGCGTTCCGGGCCGGAATGTCCGTCTCTGTTTTGGTTTGTGAAACCCCTCCACTGCCAGTTTACCCAATTGTATTTCGGGACCCCGGGTTGCCAGTTGGCGGAAAACACAGCGTCATTTCATGCGCTCCTTTCTGTTGGTGTCGTCAATCTGGCAACCTGCGTGTGCGTCAAGTCTGAGGAGGAGGGGCCGGGTGAAAAAAACCCTCTCCAATATTTTGAATTTGGACTGCAATACCTAGTTCAACCACTCGGTGTCAATCCTACATACAGCATCTTTAACGCTGCAGAATTAATCAATTATGAAATAAATTACATTTCAGCTGCTTCAACAGCTTCAGCTTAATTAATTTAAAATTTTGTTCTCATCTGTTATAGCGTCAGTGCAGTTGAATCAATAATAATGCTCAATATTGTCTTTTAAAGCATTGAATTTTATGGAAATATATGCTGTTCACTTTGCTACAGGTGCCTATATCAGTTTTACTGTACTGTTTTCCCCAGTTACTTATTATGCCAAAGGTACTAGTATGTTTTTTTCAGTTTAGTATTGCAGTTACACAGTTGTTTTTAACTTGTTTAGTCCGACTGACTACTTTATAGTTCAATTAAAAATCTTATTAGTAAGATTGTTACTAGTAACAATAGGAATACACACTACAGTGTCTAATAAATAAGTGTTGCTGTCTATTTAATTAGTATGAGAACTTGAATAGATACTAGTATTTAGTAACTAAAGAATATAAAGAATTCTAGTCAAGAGGTCAACAATTGAGATCTAAATTACAGATCCCCAAAGAATTCAATGGCAAAATTTGCAGTTTGCTACTTATAACATTTGGTTTAGCGACTAGTAGCAAAGGAAAAAGTAATGAGTACTAGTAAAATTAAAAAATAGATCTGATAGATTGTTGTAAAGAATAGATTTAAAACATCTTGCCATCCATTGTGTGATTGCCCACCCTACACACGCTCAGCATTTTGAACTATTTATCACACTGAAGACTGCAACCACCATATTTCTCATCCACTGATTGAAGTGGGGCCCACACAAAAACCATGAATACTATTAATTTGCTCTGCCCCCCTCGCACCACCTATATTCTTAATCTGAGTTCAAAACATACCCTACTCTTAACAAACCCTTGGGCTATGAGTCCATAATCCCCAAACTCAGACGAGTCCCTCCGGAGCCAACTTGTCTCGTAATGCTCAGCGCTGTTTTTTTCTTTCTGCAGACTTCCTGGCTGAAGAATTGATCTCAAATTAGGACAACAGAGCAAGTAAACCCATCATTTTATCTGGACGGAGCAGAAACTGTGCTTTTTTTCCACCCGAATGCCACTTTGAACATGTATATTACAGTGCTCAAGCACTATTTTACTTTCAGATGACAGGAAACAAACATTTTCAGTTAATGAGTTCAAACTGAATGAAAATGAAACGCCACCATCCAGACTTTAGATATTCCAAAGTTGGAATAATCCTTAAACAGCCAGGGGCCCCAATTATAGCTTATATATTTGCACCAGTGCGCAGCGTGTGTCTCACAACTGCTGAGAGGGCACAACAGCGAGAGCAGCGATGGCAGGAATTGAGCCAACAACTACAAGACACAAACCAGATGCAGCCAATATCTAGACTGGTGGTGCCTAAATAAAGAGTAGCTGCAAAGAGAGAGAGGTGTATTGATTTACCGAACAGATAATGTGCGTGGAACGTGGCGCATGATGTATGTCACAGTGTGTGTGAGTGTATTAGTAGTCAGAGCACTGGGCCCCGGAGGCGATTCCTGTGTGTGCTTGCGATAAAGGGGGAACTGGAGGAAGTGAGGGAGGGTGGGGGAGCGAGAGAGAGAAAGAGAGAGGAATAGTTCGAATTGGAGAAGGATGTGGGTTGGTGGAGGGGTGGGGGAGTCAGAGACAGAGAAATGGAGAGAGAGAAGTTGAAGGAGTGAACAACCAGCAGAGCTCGGAGCTTTTTTGATGCTGTCAAGATTCCTGGATTTTGTCCCCATCTGCCCTCTCTCTCTCTCTGCCCCTTTTCCTCACATGAAAAGAGGGGAAGAGTGTCTTGGCAGGGTAATTAAGAATGGCCTCTAAACACAGAAGTATGGCAGGAACACTCCAGATGAAAGTAAATGATTAAAGTAATTACAGGCACAGAGCTGACGAGCCGGAGTGCGGGGTGGCCGCCGGACATTTGTCGGTAATTAGATAATTAATCTGAATGCAAATGATGAGTCCTAACGAAGCAGTCAGGCTGAACCAGTGACAACTACCGAAAGAGAGAGATGGGGAGAGAGAAATACTTTCATCACATGGATACAAATTTTCCACCTTAAAAAATTCTAAAGCTACAGTAAAACTGTTTGCACACTATATAAACAAAACTAGTAAAGACTGAAAGCTCTCAGACAAGAGAAGATTTAATTTTTCTCACCATACATCTAAATGCTATGAAGTGTATTAATTGCACCACAGTATAGGAAAGGGACACAAAGAAGCAAAACTAATGAACATGAATGGGAGTCTTTGTAGTGGTTGGGGGCAATAGAAGTGCCTACTGCAGCAGCTGAGGGTATACAGGATCTGAAACCCTTTCTGTCTAGGCAACATGATCAATCATTCTTACTGAAACTATTTTGTGGGAATGGAATAGGCATAACACAGGCATACATTTTTTATTAATTCACTGCAAAGCATAAAATAAAAAAATAAGTCTTAGGTTTCTTGGCTGGTTTTGGATAAGTTTATAAACCATCTACTGTACATGTAACAAAATACATAAAATATCTATCAATCAGTCTATCTATCCATCCACCTATCTTAGAGATTTAATATAGAGATTGCAATATCTATCAGATATCATATAACTCAGACCTTTATAACTTAAGATTTTATTAATTACCATGAGTTTTCCAGGTCTGAAAACACCAAAAAAATCCCTTATATTTTAATGACTATAATATTGCACCCTGTAATATTGTCCAATCATTTTTGTGTCTGCCCACCTGACAGAAAAACTGTCACTATTTAGGGGCTTTCACCAGTTTGCCATGTCCATAAACAGATCGTCACGTGACAACAGAGCACGAACTCTCTGATGACGTCTGAACAGTGCGCCGCTGTACAGCTCCGTTCAGCTTTTGCTGTGTAATATCTGATCGAGCTGCTCTGCTAGTGGACGTACTGATCAGAGTGTGTTTAATTTCCTTTGAACTCTCTCAGCAATATGGAATACTTGATCGGGATTCAGGGGCCAGACTTTGTGCTGGTTGCGGCAGATAATGTAGCAGCAAGCAGTATAATCCAGATGAAACACGGTGAGTTTGATGTGCAGTAGCATGTTAGCAGCATGCTAGGCCAGGAAGCATTATAACGGCTCATAATAATCAATAAAAATTTTGCAGACCACTATAATTAACCACATTTCAATTTTCATACATTGCTGTCTTAATTGCATCTAAATGCTGTCACCACTTCAGAATATATGGCAATTGCTGCAAAGTTTTAGCCGAGGTAACGTTAGCTAACGTTACCCTGTGCTAACACAGTTTGTGCGTTGAACTGATTTACCTATTCATATATTAAAATCAGTCTATTAAACTTCATTTAGGGTGCACTTTTAAACGTTAACGGGAGCAACATGTCAGTTATTGTAGTGTGATTATCCTCGAGTGTCAGTCGAGTGGCCTCGGATGAGTTTGCGATTTATTTGTGAAAGTGAAAGTAAGAGCGCCTCCGAACCTCCATGGTTACGAATGAGGATTTATTTAAAACTCAAAACGTATGCGCTTTATTTAAATTTATTGTTAAAACTTAAGTTATTCACCACAAATAAAACGCCATAAAGTACAATTAGTGTTGCTGTTGATGTTTATGTCCTGTGTTAAAACTTAGCCTTACTTCATCCAAGACCCATCATATTAGAATTAAGACTTCGAAGTTTTTAGCAGATACGTACACTGACATTTTTTTTGATTGTCTTTATTTTTGAGAAAACGAACTAAAAATGTTGACATCTTATGTATACAAATTTTTGTACAATAAAATGCTTTCAAGAAGAGCAGTGACCCTCCCCCTAATACCAGCTACATCTGACAAGCAATAGCAAGTAGCAACTAATGCTCTTTATTGTAAACTAAAGGCTATTGACCATATCTATAGCAACAAGAAGCCCCGGTTTCTGGTTCCACAGAAAATGTCAATAGAGGAAACTGTACTAAATAGACCACCAATGACTTGTAAAGAAGCTTGAGCTCTTGTAAAATGTGTTAGGGTTGTATTGGACATAATGTTAGGATGACCTGTTATGTATGTTTACCAGATTATGACAAGATGTTTAAGCTCAGCGAAAAGATCCTGCTCCTGTGTGTGGGTGAAGCCGGTGACACAGTACAGTTTGCAGAATACATTCAGAAAAATGTCCAGCTTTACAAAATGAGAAATGGTAAGCATTCAGTTTTCTTTTTTTTCTTTCTGAAGTTTAACTGATTTTAATAGAAAGTGTACTGAAATCACACTCTTGTACAGAGCGTCAAGCTACGTCTTTGTTTTGTTGTTTTTAGTTCTAAACATAATTTACATTATTTCTGGTAGAAATAAAGTTAATTTCAGTGTTTAGTTCAGAAAGTTCATATGCACTTTTATTTGTTTTGCATGAAAAAAAATTTCATTGGAATTTTATTAACTTTGTTTAAAATCTATCATACTCTGGATATGCACTCCATATGAAAACTGTTTCTATTGTTTAATGGATTGACCCTGATTTATCTTTCTCTTTCTTCAGGATATGAGCTTAGCCCAGCAGCTGCTGCAAACTTCACAAGGAAAAACTTAGCAGACTATCTGCGGAGTCGGGTTGGTACAACAACCTCTGTGTTCAAGCCCAGAATGTTCTTTTATATCTATCAGTTGTGGATAGTGTGGTTCCAAACCTTAATTTTTCAATAGATGAATTACAAATAATATAGACCAGATGTTCCCAACCTGGGATACATCTAGAATGGATCAAACATTGGGCTACTTGTAAAATGACCAAACAGTAAATACGTTTTCTCCTTTCTACTCTATCTACATATGAAAAATTGCAAAAGAGTTGATCTATCATTCAAAGGGGGAGTCAGGAAACCTTGTTGAAAACATTTATTATTTTTGCAATTTCTTTGGAAGATTGCTAGTGTTGCAGAACTGAAACACTTCATTATATACACTCTATACACTACCGTTCAAAAGTTTGGGGTTGGTTAGGAGTGTCATAAAAATATTATTACACTTTAAAAAAAAAAAGTGTAGCTTTTCAGTAGCCGTTACTTCAGTCTTCAGTGCCACATGATCTTTCAGAAATGTTTCTTCTTATTATCAATGTTGAAAACAGTTTTTGAAATTTTTGTGGAAACCGTGTGCTTTTTTTTCCCCCCAAAATTGTTTGATGAATAGAAAGTTAATAGAAATATAAGAATTTATTTGAAACTTAACTCGTTATAATAACAATAACAATTTATAATAACATAAAAATGTCTTTACTGTCACTTTTGGTCAACTTAATGCATCCTTACTATTTTACAAAAAAATAAATCTTTCTGACACCAGTCTTTTGAATGGTAGTGTATATAGCGATCTTTTCTTTGCTTTCTCTCTTCAGTCCTTTTGTGTGCCACAGAGTATATCTGAATGCAGCCGTTGTAAAATGTGCTTAAAAACAGATGCCAGTGTGTTTTGAATGTGTGGAGGTGATATCAAGGTCTCAGAGGTCGTTGACACCTGCGCCTCCTATGTAATGTGATCCTGCTTATAAGATACTTTTTCCAAATGTGTGTGTGTGTGTGTGTGTTAAACTAAGGGCAATATAGAGTGCACCCATCTGTGTAAAAATGGGCTTGTCGCCATCCTGGCTCTTTTGTCTGGTAGTGTGTGTGTTAATTTGTTAGGAAGAGTGTAACTGCCTCCTGTCACAATAGCAGAGTGGAGAAAATGATTACAAAAAACAATTAGAGCAAGCCGGGGGGCAGTGGGAGGGGTGGCATCCGGGGGGCTTAGGAAGTGCTACAAGTTCATAAACCCCCATGCTTTTAGCTTGTCTTGACCTAAATGCGACTTGCCCACAGAACGAGAATAAACGAGTCAGTTTCAATATTTTTCCTCGAATGTGCCTCAAAGCGAGGCATGTTTGACTAATAGATTTTGTTCATATATTGATACTTGAATACTGCCTTAATTCACAATGTGAATAACAGTATTCAAAGGAAAGTCTCAGATTCTTCTTTAAAATAAGGATTATGGGTAATCATATAACCTTGCGTATTATTTAACCCATTTCGTTTGTGCTAAACCCTTTGGGATGTTTAAATGAGAGAGATGTCATGCACGCTTTAAGGACCAGGTTTCTAAAAAAACAACTGGGCCTTTGGGGCTCCCCTGGAGTGGCTCCTCAGACAGATCTTTACGTAGAGAGAAGAGACGGCAGATGCTCAGATAGTCCAACGTACTGTTCTGAACTGGCTCTTTGCGGCCAAACGCATGTTTTCTGTGCTTGTTTTATGTGCTGTGCTTTTTGTTTTAACCATGTGCTGCATCCAGCATCCCCTTAAGCTCTCCGCAGAACAGTCCAGCAACAGTTTGCCATCATTGGCACACATGAAACAATATTGGCCGCCTATTCTCTCCCAGCACACTGGCACAAATAATTACTGGTGCCATATTGCGAGGCATTCCCCTGTTCCGCTACAGATGAACAATTAATACGGCAGATTGGGCAGAGATGCCAAAGAGGCCAAACATGTCCTGGGGCATTGGGCAAAGGGATGGGGAGCGCAGGAACAGAACATGAAAGCGGAAGGCAGGATGAATTAATGATATGGTACAATTATGACTCTCTGTACTGAGCTTTAGTTTAGTGTCCCTCAGATTTTTTAACAGGGACTCCGGTGAGAGGAAAGGCTGTAGTGTTTGAACCGTAGCTCACGAGGTTGGTGGAGAATGTGGGAGACAGGTGTTGAGTTTATACGGAGGGGTAGATGACACTCGGGGGAATTTCGTACAGACTCAAACCTTGTCTTTCAACAAGCCCCTGTTCCTCTAAACCCTCCCTGCTGGGAGTGCAGCATATTGCATAGGTGAGCTTCTCTAGGGGGTGTTTACTTACCCAAACGTGCCCCAGAGACCTTCCAAGAGCAGGGAGATGGCCCAGAACAGATGAAAGCCTCTCAGGTGAGTTGAGCTTTTTTTAGTCTTATCCACGCGGAAAGGAACTGGACGTGGTACTATATATTCACTTTTACACTCTTAAAAATAAAACTTCCAAATAGGGGTTTTCACAGTGATTCAATAGAAGAACCATTTTGGGTTCCCAAAAGAGCCTTTCAGTGAACAGTTCTTAAAAGAACCATTTTCGTGTCTGTAAAGAACATTTTTCCACTACAAATAACTACTTTTGGGAACTGAAAAGGTTCCATAGATCTTAATCTTAATTTTTGTGGCCCCAAATGGAATTGCAAACAAACTCATTTTATAAATTTCTTCTTTGTTTGTTTTTTTGTTAGGCTGTTGCTATGTGGAATGTTTTTTAAGCATGTCAAGCTAAAAAAAAAAAAAAGCAAAAAAGTTTAGAAGATATTCTAGTCCTAGGCTCAGGTCCCTCAGTTTTTTTTCACCTGTTTTATCGTCCCCTAGCTAAAATGTTTTATGTTTAGTCACATTCTTTTTTTTGTTTTATGTTTTTGTTTTATGTTTAAGCCTCATTATTTGGACAAACAGAAAGTCTAGCCCAAAATATGCTTTGGTTTTTAAACGAGTACAAAAACATTTCTGGAGAGAACAATTGCAGACACTGTTCACGAACAGTATCAAATGGAGTATACTTAGAAAGACTATGCATTTGACTGTATGTGAACGCTAGCATGCGCGTAAGTTTACTTCAAGTGTAAGTGTTCACGTCAAAACAGAGGTATACTTTGGTCTTAAAAAAAACTGCATATAGTTTTGTGTATTTTTGCGGCTTTGAAGCCCTCTACAGTTAAGTGAGTGGAATTTATTGTTGTAAATATATCACTGTAATTACATTGGATAGCTGTACATGTGTGTTTGATGTTGGCATAAGGCAATCCACCCTTTTCGTGGATTTTCGTAGCCGCTCACTAAATTTACATGGAGTGTGGGAAAGAAACAAACCATTCCGCTTATTTGAAGTCAGTGTATCATCAGAATGATTTTTGAAACTGATATTTCAAGGTAAAAAAAACTTTGTCATTAGCTGAGCATGAAGTTGACCTGTCGGGTCTCCCAAACAATCTTTGGAAGTCCTACAGATGTCTTTCACTTGAACATTACACTGTGAATTCTAACATTGTAAAAATTACACGCTTCACCTTTAAATCCACCCGATGGCACCAAATTTGGCCGATTACAGTGGAGGCAGAATGTGGATTGAAATCCCCCTATCTGAGAGCCTCGTGCAGATGGGAAACGTGGGGGAAAGCGAATGTAGTTTCAGAGTTTTGAGATAGAGGGAGGAAGAGGACTAAAATAAGTTTTAATGAGAGCTGGCACTGCTCCAGGGCAATGGGGTGAGGGCGGGAGACGGAGGGGAGGAGAGAGGAGGTGGGTAGGTGCTCGCGGCAGCAGGGCTGCCGTCTTCCTGCAGATGTCACACTGCTGGTGACACCAGCGACCCCCCTCAGACCGCTCCACACTCCCCTCCCTCCCCTTCTCTCCCCTTTCTCGGCTGTTTCACACCCCTCCCTTTGCTCTCCTCTCCCTCCGTCTAACCATTCTACTCTTGCTGATGTTAAAGTTTGGTGGTTGTTGGTGTTTTCGATCAGATTCTTTGAGTCTACACTTGAATTTTGTTACATTTCTTTTTTCGTTTCATTTTCAAACTGTTGTTATTATATGCTTTATTACATGACTCTGAAATACTTGATTCTGATTGGTCAATTGCTGTCAAGTATTTTCCCCCAGGCAGTTGATTCCCTACATAACTCTGCTAGTTTCATGTATCCCATTTTACTATCTTTTTTTTTTTTTTTTTTTTACGGAATTCAGTTTCCACCATGGAATAAAAAATAAAAAAGGTGATTACGACTTATCTCACAATTCTGACTTTTTTCGTGTAATTCTGAGAAATAAACTCAGAATTGTGACCCATTAAAAAAACAATCAGAATTGTGAGATGACAAAAATTAATTGCCTTTTTAAATTTTTTATTCTGTGGCAGAAAACAAAGCAATTGTGAGATGTAAAATCAGAGAAAAAGTCAGAATTGCAAGATATGAACTCAGAATTGTGAGATGTAAAAAAAAAAGTTTGAATTTTGAGTTCATTCCTCGCAATTCTGAGTTTATTTCTAAGAATTATGAGAGAAAAAAAGTCTGAATTTAGAGAGAGAAACAGGCTCGAATGGGCTTCCATATTTTTCGAACATTATTTAAATTCAAATGAATGTCTATTTATTGATTTGGTTAGTAGCCTTGTGATAAGTTGAATAATATACAGTTAGCTTTTTATCATCACAAAATAACCTCCACTTTTTGTCTGGTTTTATTTTATGGTAATGACTGACTAAAACGTTTATCCGGCTGTACTTATATCCCTTCATTTTTGGATTTAGCGATTAAAATTACTTATTTTTTTCTTCTTTTTCTTAGACTCCATACCATGTGAACCTGCTCTTGGCAGGATATGATGAGACCGATGGTCCAGGACTATACTACATGGACTACCTGTCAGCACTTGCCAAAGCCCCCTTCGCCGCACACGGATACGGTGCCTTCCTCACCCTCTCCATCCTGGACCGATATTACAGACCAGGTGATTATACACTTTCACTTATGAGGATATATTTTTATATATCCTCATAAGTGAGTATTATTTTTTGATTGATTGAATTCTAAGCCTGTTTTTCTGTTATTCTCACTCCAGATCTGACTCGTGAGGAGGCTGTGGATCTGCTCAAGAAGTGTTTAGAGGAGGTAAGTTGCTCTCCATATGCTGGTCTGTTCATGCATGTAATTTCATAATTACTGGTGGTTGTTATGAGAAGCATCACTATTACTATTGTTCATAATTGGGGTTAGATTCAAACATATTCAACAAACTTCCCCAAATCCCACATACTTCAAAAATAAAAATGTGGTTTCTATTTGAAAATATTTTTTTTTTATTTTTTTTTTATTTAGTCATTTATCAGACGCTTTTATCCAAAGCGAC